CTCAGAATGGGAAAATATTTTTGTAAACTATGCATCAGATAAGGGATTGATAACCAGAATACATAAGGAACTAAAGAAGCTGTTTGGAAAAAAGATGATGAGCCCTATTAAAAGATGGGAGAAGGAGTTGAAAAGAACACTCACTAAAGATGACATATGAATAGCCAGGAGGCTTATGAAAAAATGCTCAATATCCCTCATTGTAAGGGAAATGCAGATCAAAACAACAATGAGATACCACCTAACCCCAGACAGAATGGCTAAGACTAAAAAAAACAAAAAATGGTAAGTGTTGGCGGGGGTGTGGTGAAAGGGGAACTCTCGTACACTGCTGGTGGGAATGTAAATTAGTCCAACCACTGTGGAGAACAATTTGGAGATTCCTCAAAAATCTACAAATAGAACTGCCATATGATCCAGCAATCCCATTTCTTGGCATCTACCCAAAGGACAGAAGATTTTCTCATTGGAAAAGTGCTTGCACATCGATGTTTATTGTGGCACTTTTCACGATTGCTAAGACATGGAACCAACCAAAATGCCCCCATACAGCTGAATGGATTGAAAAACTGTGGCACATATACTCTATGGAATACTATTCAATCATTAAGAACAACAAAACCCTGGCTTTTGACAGAAAGTAGAAGAATATGAATGAAAGATTTACTGCTGAGTGAAGCAAACCAGGCTATGAAGGAGAGACACTGTATGTCCCCACTTAATATATACCGAATGTCCACACTCTATAACTGAAACTGACGGGCTAAAGGATGTACAAACACAAGAGATGGATATGAATGCCAGATGTGGTGTGTGTGGAGGAGTGGGGCCTGGGGAAGAACATTTGGAGGAGGGATACGAAGACAGCATTGTTGAGACAGGGAGGTAGTGTTGTTATATTTTGATCAACTCAACCGGGGAGAAATGTTCATATATTGAAATGATCACCTTGTAAGCTAAATAATGTGATTGAATGTATTTTAAAAATGTAAATAAAAATAAATAAATTTAAAAAAAAAAAGGCAAATGGACTTACTCTTGTTAGTCCTGGGGAGTCAGATGACATTTGATTTCCACTTCAAGTTTATATGAAAAGAACTTTGTCTCTTATACCAACATGGTTGCTGTAGAAAGTTGGTTTATTTCCATCTCCCCAAGAGAGTAGAAGCTCCATATGAGCTGGTACCGTGCCTGTCCTGTTCACACCACATCCCTAGCATTTATCAATACATGTTTTTCAAAGAATGACTGCAATTCTGGGGCGTGGTGGCACCCCTCCTATGGCAAAGAATGACTGCAATTCTGTACTCACTAACATTAACACCTGATTACAATCACACATCCAGGAAGTGGCCATGCAGGGATTCAAATGGAGGTTGTTCTAGCCCAAAGCTAGGTCTTTAGATCATGTCCTCATAGAGCTTTCACTTCAGCAACTTAAAGAGCCCACTGTGGTCTTTCTATAAACACATACTCAACTTCATGCTCCAAAACTTTTTCGTATTATTCCATTTTTGTCTTCTCTGCCACCATTTAGTCAAAGTTCCTTCTATATTTCTGTTTTCACCATGTTTTGATTTAATAGTTATTGAGGACAATAATATCCATTATTAAACACTGAATACTCAAGATAAATAAGAACTATCCTTGCCATCAGTATGATCACAGGAGAGAAATGTGAAATAAAATAATAATAATTACAATATAGCATGATAAGTACTATTACAAGTATTAAGAAAGAAATACTCTCCCCCACTAGACCTGAGCCTTGATAGATAATCATTTAATTAGGCAAAGAGGGGTCCGGCAGGTAGGGTGGTGGTTAAGGGTGCTGGATTCCCACATGGCTTACTGCATTTGAGTCCCAGAAAGTGGCTTGCTTTCTCACTTCTCTCTCTCTCGCTTTTGAATTAAAATAAATACATAAATAAACAAGGTAAATAAAATAATTTTCAAAAATTTAAAAAAAAAAAATAGGCAGCAAAGAAAGAGAAGTTCCACCAACAGCCTGAGCTAGGTTTCTACAACATGAAGTATTTGGCAAGGTACAACAACCAAAGAAACCCAGAGTGCCTGGATGTTGGGCGAGGAACAAAAGAAGAGGCAGGGAAATGGCTGGAATGCTGTTACCAGGATTCTGAAGGCCCTGATCAGCTCTGAGTAAACTTTAGGACAAACTAAGCCCATGGTTAGGGATCAAGCAAAACAAGGCACCCAAACTAAAAACAGAAATGAAGACATCTAAAAATGAATGAGTTTAATTTCAACATACCTTTGAGTTTTGTTTTGTTTTTTGTTTGTTTTGAGAGGTTTTCGCTATAGGGCACATGTGCTTGCCAGATAGACAGAGAGAGACAGAGAGACAGAAAGTGATAAATCACCCCCCAGGGGGGATGGGCACGCCGCAATCCCTTTTCCTCCATTCTCCTTTCAGGATCTTGGGCACGCACGCACACGCGCCCGGCGTGAGTTCTAAGCCACCAAGTCCGGGACGTGAACCGCGGTTGACTATGATGGAGTCCAGCGACAGCCATTACACCAGCTGCTGATTCCCATACCTTTGAGTTTTATGCAATTTCAGAAAAGATTTTTAATTCAGGTTTTAATATTTTTAAAATTTGGAGTTGCATATGGAGAATATTTCATTTTTTAGGATCTCTGAAAGTTTCTATCAGGTTCTAACTCCTTTTTTGGTTTTGGAAACGTAGACTTTTAATAACTGCTTTTATCACCAGGTTGTCATGCAGTTACAAAGTAATTAAAAATTTCTGGCAAGTGGTGTGGTAGTTAAGGCTCTGGACTCCCACATGGTTGACCATGTCGATGAAGTTCTCCATCCTATGGAAAACCCTGGGCCGTAGCTGAGATGCATCTGTGGATGCCACCCTGACTGATGGGCATCCAGGTCACACAGGCGTGTGCATTGGTATCACAGGGCCATATGGTGCTGTCATAGCTGTACATGATCCAGGCCATCTCCTGCTCGCCAGTGCTTATGTCTGGGGCAGGCACATGGATGCCAGGACCCATAAAGCCCTTCTTTGCTAGCTCATGGTGAATCTCCTCATGATTTGTTCTAATTCATTATTGGTATAGTTTTTGGGACTAATCTTAACACCGTGCTGGATGGGGAAGGGCAGGCTCAGCACCTGCTGCAGGGCTCAGTGATCCTTAAGATGCCGTGCATACAGTTGCACTTCTGCTCCATGTTTTCCCGCGTCCACAGTTCCTCAACCAGTTTGTGCTCTGAGATGCTGGTGCAGCAGTTGGAGAAGCCCTGCACCATCTTAGAGAAGCTGGGGTCATCTTCTCGCTATAGTGGCACCAGGCAGGCATTGTGAGCCAGGGCTTCAGGTAAGCAGCGGCGGGGTGCCCATGGGCCCAGCACAGCAGCAGTGCAGAGTTGGCAGCTGCCTAGCTCAGGGTAGTGGGCCCAGTCAGAACACCAACAGCTCTCCACCCAGGTAGCAGCACGTGGTGGCCAGAGAGCTGCAGGAGGTGCGGGAGAGCACGTTCAGAGGGCTGGCGACACAGGGAGCCAGTCTCTAGCTCCCTTACAGAAGTTGGACAGCAGCCAGTTTCAGCTTTGGGCTGTGCAGGATTGAATTAAAGCAGTTTGTAAAACTGCTTTATGAATGGCCTATATCTGTACTCCTTAACCGTCAAGATGTTCTATTGATTTATGAGGTCAGTTGTTTGGTCAAAGGACCTCTTACTGGTGGCATTTCAGGAACTGTGAAATGAAGCATAACAGGGAAGGTCTCTTCCTGTGGCCCCAGAATTAGGTAGCAGGGCCCTTAGTGAAACATTGAATATGCACGTTCCTTCCTTTTTTTTCTCTTTCTTTTTTTCTTTCCTTCTTTCTTTCAAAGTGCCCAGCAACAAAGAAAATCTAGCTAAGATGATAGAAGAGCACCAAACCAGCTCTCCTACTCTCTCTTCCTGCCTTCAGTACCAGGGGTGCTAGACCCAGAGCAGGGAGGGAAGAGAAAGGGGCAGACTGCACCCAGACTACCCAGTACCTAAGCTGTCCTTCCTCTGAGGACGCACTTCTCATGCCTAGCAGGTACCTGGCCCAGAGCAGATAGTTACTACTTATGTTGAAAATAAATAAATGCAGGCTGGTCCTGTGGCCTGGGATTAGGGAGCTGGATCCTTAAGAAACATGCCAGATGCATATTCTTGTGTGCCCCAAATCCCAACAGGGTGAAGAAATGGAAAAGGGATTGCAGTGTGACCATGCATCATGGGGAATGGTTTCTCCCTCTCCTTTCTCTGTCTCAGATCTGGTGAGCACACATGCCCTCTGGAAAAGAAAAAGAAAAAAGAAAGAAGTCAGAAGGAAAGCAAGCAAGAAGGAACAGAATGACTGAAGGGAAATACAATACATACTGAAAAGTTAGTGCCTCTCTCCCCGCCCCTCACGACTCCCTATTTCTCAGTCACTCATGCCTTTCCTGAATTAGGAGACTTATTTTCAATAATAGAAGGGTGTTTCCTTGGCTCAGAGCCTGGCTTAGGTAACACGGCATTACCGAGTGTACACCTGGTGTGTATTCTCCAAAACTGTCCATTTCTGGGTGGGGCTTAGGCTTGTCCAGTTCCTAGACCCACCCCTGGCCTTTTGTTCTAGCTCAGGGTGTGGAAGGATATAAATTTCAGCTGCTCTCAGCCCTGTAGCATTTTTACCAAAGACTTCCTGCAGCAACATGAAATTGGTCGGCTTCCTCCTCCTCGTGACTCTCAGCCTCAGCCTAGAGGTTCAGGAGCTCCAGGCTGCAGTGATACCGCTGAATGTTTTGGGTGAGTCCAAGCAGAAGGCAGCCCCATTCTTCTTTGACTGAGCGAGCCAGACAGTAGAACCTCAGAGACCAGAGTGTGCAGGTAGAGAAGGGGAAGAAAAGAGAGATGGAAGATTCTTAAGGAGCCACTGCAGGGAACTCTCCTTGGCAGCCTCCACTCAGTTCCCTGGAGCAGAATCACTTTTCCTCTGTCTCCATTTTTTCTCTATCCTTTCCCTGGGTCACACTCCTCCCCTCTGTTCCCCTCATCAGCTGCCTTCATCTCCACCAGCTTCTAACTCTCTTGCTACAAATAGCTTGGATTGCCTAGAGAAAACACTTTCTCAGTCATGTTAGACAATCTTATCTTCTTTTACCACCAATATTCTGAAAATAGTGTTCTTAATTCTCTGCCCTTACTTCCTCCTGACTCATTCCTTATACCCTGAAGCCTGACCCCAATCTCCATACCTGCCCCCAGCACTCTAGATACTTCTCTACCCGGGACCTACTGACAATCTCTTGACTATCCTTAATTGCCAAAGTCTTCTACAGCACCTGACATTGTTTGCCCTACCCTCAATCTTCATCTTTCTTTTCTCCAAATTATCTTTCACTGTATTTTATTCTTCTCCCTAAATATTATTAGCTTTAACTCTAACTCCTCTCTTTTTCATTTTCCCTCCCCCACACGAAACTGGTTGACAAATACCAGATCTTTGAACCCATCTCTTGCATATGCCCCTTCCTTTCCACTTCCGATTGCAAAACTCTATTTCCAGCCCTGACTGCCCTGTGCTTGGGCCACCCTTCCTTCTAACAGCTCTCCCTGCCCCTGTCTCCCTTCTAAAGCTTGCTTACTTCTTTTTTTTTTCTTTTTCTGAGAGGTTTTTGCTATAGGGCGCGTGCGCTCGCCAGACAGAGAGAGACAGAGAGACAGAAAGTGAGAAATCACCCCCCAGCGGGGATGGCCACGCCACAATCCCTTCTCCCCCGTTCTCCTCTCGGGATCTTGGGCACGCACGCACACGTGCCCGGCGTGAGTTTTAAGCCACCAGATCCGGGACGCGAACCGCAGTAGACTACATGGGAGTCCAACGACATAGCCATTACGCTAACTGCTGTGGTCCCAAGCTTGCTTACTTCTTGAACCCTGCTCTCTTCTGTGCTCTCACACCAGAATAATCCCAAGTACACACTAATCACGTCCCTCTCTGTTATTCCTCTTTTGACCTGTCCGAATGAAATTTAATTCCTCGGGTCCTCAAGATATGCTCACCCTTAGTCACTTTGTTCCTCCTTACTTTTCCTGCTTAATTCCAGCTCTTCCCTAATCCTTACCCAGCCCTCCACTTGCCATTCCTCCTGTATTCCTTGTATTTCAATGTGAGGAAAGAGACAGACAAGGCACCTAAGGTACGAGCTATAAAGGGGCTCTCACTCTCTGGGCTGTGCAAGCACCTCATTAAATTTCATGCCCTCAGCATCTCATTTGCTTTGCCCTCATCCAGGCCCTATTGCACTCTCCCCTTGTGAACTGTTGCTAATAATTCTTATCTCTTCTCATTGCACTCCACTGCCCCCCTGAATTCTGTGTTAAAAAATTCAGGTGGGTCAGCCCCTGGCATGCAAGTTAAGGTGGCTGGATATTATATGGCTGCCTGCCCAGTTTGAGTCCTGGACCTAACCACATGAAAAACATGCCAAGAGCCTGTGCATGCATGTTCAAAATCCCAGGAGAAATGGAGGAAAAGGGATTGTGGTGTGGCCGTCTTCTATGGAGGGAAGTGCTTTCTCACCCTCCCCCACCTTCCCATGAGCCTGCACACTCTCTGAAATTTTTGTTTTTAATTCTGAAACTTCAAGGCTTACCTTTTCTGATTAATCTATATGAAAGTAATGTTCCATCCCCTCTGGGCCTGTTTGGTCCTGTGGATCTCCCTCTCCCAGAGCCTTTCACATACTGCCTTCTTAGTACTTTATGTAGACGTCTTCTTTCTAAGCTGCTGTCTGACATCATTGTACTTCCTGAATACCTCCTTCATGCTTTATGCATAGTAAGAAATCAACTCAACAAGTGATGAAACTGCTGGGAGGGAGACAAGGGGTCTTCAACTTCCTCACCATAGATCAACAGCACTACCAGAAGCCTGGAAGGGTCGGTGGTTCTGGTTTTCTCTGAGGTCTGTAAGGACACTGTAGACATCTTACCAGGCTCCCTCTCACCTCGCAGATATTACTAAGCAATCACAGCACTCCTCTTTGAGCCTGGTCAGGATGTCTGAGCCTTCTCAATACAGCATGGGATCACCACCTCTAGTGATTGGAACTGACACTCAAGAATGAACCTCATTTACCCTACTGAATCCAAGGGTCCCATTTTATAGATAAGGAACATAGGCCAGAAAAAGAAGCAGGTGAAGAAATTCCTGCCGAGAGCTGAGTAGCCAGTTAAAGCAGAGCACACATTCATCTGGACCTCTATGAATGTTTTGCTAGAATCCCCTGTGGAGTCTTATCCAGTTTTTTAGACATACTTTATTGGCCTTCATAGATTACCTTGAGGCTCTGGGAACTTGGGGAGCCTCTGCTCAGGTCAGGAGTGGCTTTTTGAAATTTGGAGATGTCTTCTTCACATCAGGGTCAGTTTCACCATTTGGGATAGCAGAAAAGGCCTTGGCTTAGGGGCCAGGCAGATTTGGGTTAAACACCACTTCTTCAGCTACTAGTAGGCATGTTACCTCTGTGATCTCCTCCTACCACGCCTATGAAATCTGGTTAGTATCACCACATGGGATACTACAAAACATTCATTATGGTACTCGGTAAATATGAGTCTCCTTTTCTCTGCTCCTTCCACTGTGGAAGGATGAAGTGAAGACATTTAAGCATCTTTGCACTGTCCCTTTGCCCATATACTTATCCCCATCTCTAAATTAGGCCTTACTTCATAGAGATTATTTTTTAAATAAGTATTTATTTAATTTTATTTACTACTATTATTGTTTTTGACCACAGATAGAGAGAGAAAATGAGAAAGTAAGCCTCTAGGTCTGGTACTTGAACCACAGTCAGCTATGTGGAAGTTCAGTGCCCTAACTACCACGCCACCTATTGACCCCACTTTATAGAGATTATGTGAGTCCATTGTTTTCAGCTGTATATGTGACTTTTATTCTATGAGTAATCATTTCAAATTATATTATGTATTATACTAAAAGAAAAAAGTGGACCTGACTCTTTAACCAGGGGCTGTCCTCCCCAGCACCTGCACTTGAAGCACCCTGGTTTCAGCTGGTCTGTTCTAACATAGGCATCTGCACAGAGCTCTGCGGAGGTGACTGGGACTGTGGGCCAGATGAACACTGCATCAGCAATGGGTGTGGCCACATCTGTGCTGAAAAATAGCAGGTAAAATCATCAATCCCTTCCTACTTCCTGAAACCTTGTCCAGCCTGGGCAAGCTTACACTTGGCCTCAATGGGATTTTCCAGAAATGGATGGGGCAGAAGCCTGCCTAGGGGCTCTCACACATCACATCCTTCCCAAGAAAAAGAGGCATCCATTACAGGATGGTGGTTTCCAAACTTTAAAGTAATGTACTTATTCAAAATACACTGGGGAAAATATTATTTGTTTGAGTGAAAAGAAAATAAAAATCACCCATAATTCCCCACTCCAAACTGATGTCTGCTGAACGCTATGGTACATACTTTAAACCCACCAGCATATTATATTTACTTTAAGATTAGTTAATCTTGTACCTATTTTGATTTCTTAATTGTTTCACTTAAAAATAGCTATTGAGCAATGTTGAATATTAATACTGATGCTTCTCTCCCATCACCTTTTATAACTTTGTAGATGTACACACACATACAGTTTGCAACCTCCATTAATATATGTTTAAGATAGTCCTTATTTTGGGACCAGCAGATGGTGTAATGGTTATTCACAGGACTCCCATATAGTCAACCACTGTTTGAGTCCTGGACCCAGCAGCTTAAAACTCACACGGGGTGTGCATGCGAGCATACCCAAGATCTCGAAAAGAGAAGGAAGGAGAAGAGATTGTGGTGTGGCCATCTCCTCTGGGGGGTGAGGGGTAAATTATTGCTTTCTGTCTCTCTGTTTCTCTCTTTCTCTCCAACAAACACACACACCCTATAGCAAAAATCTCTCTATAAAAACAATAAATAAATAAAAAGATATTACTTATTTTTATATTGATACAGTTTTGATTAAACTAACCTGGTATACGTGCCTTTATTAATTTCCTTGGGATAAACTCTAAGAATTACAATTGGTGACCAAAGACCATGCTCATTTTAAGCCTCTGATGTACATTGCCACACTGACCTATGAGCATTGCTTTCCCTGTAAAACTATTTCAGAGGCCTCACCTGATGGTTTCTTTATTTTCAGTAGCTATTTACTGGTAAAATATGCATAATAAAAAGCTATTGTAATTCAGCTTAACTTAATTATAAATTAAGTTGTCTTAAACATTACAGAATCAACATATATTTTTGTATTCAGACTGTATTGTATTTGTCCAATCTACCCACATTTTGGGGGGTGATTTAAGCCTTACTTGTAGGTGCCATTGATTTCCAGAATTGGGAACAGACTGTTGCCTCTCAGTTGTATCCTGTCAATTCAGTCCTCAAACCAGTAGTTCTCATGTATGATTGTTTTGTCCATTCCTCAGATGAAGTTATTTTAAGAGTCACCTTTCACTAATAACTGTTCATTCCTTCCTAAAGTTCCTACCTTCAAAGATGTGGCTGAAGCTCCTTGACTAAGAAGACAGATGAAATTGTGGCCTGTGGACGGAGACTGTCAGGGGTGTGGAGGGAGGGAAAGAAGGAATATTTATTTTAATAAATCATCATCATTAAAAATATTTGCACTACTGAAGTTATTTTGTTAGAAGTGAGGAGGAGCAGAGGCAGGGGGAGGATGAAGAAGAGGATGGACGACGTGTTTTGAGCTCTTATTTCAACAAAGACCATGTTAAATTCTCCACAGACACAATCTAAATTATCTTCTCTTTCTTTTTTAAAAAAATTATTTCATTTAACTTTATTTATTTATTTATTTACTTATTTTTAATTTTGACCAGAGAGGGACACAGTAAGAGAGAGAGAGAAAGAGGGAAAGTGAAAAGGCAAGTTCCCCTGTCCGGGACTTGAACCGTGGTCAGTCATGTGGAAGTCCAGCACCCTTAACCACCATGTCACTTGCCAACCCCTCTTCTCTCTCTTTGTTTAATTTGTCAGAAGGCGTGTGACAAATTTCTCTCACCAGAGAGAAATATACATATATATTCACTACATGGTCTATTCGTGACATAATCATTGTGGAAGATGAAAGATTCACTTGATCTGCAAACAGTATCTGGTCAACCATGTAGGCAAAGGTGCCCTGATATAAGTGGCTTTCTGAAGACCAGTACCATTGGTTGGAGATCACTGCTCTAGAGGTTGCCTTTTGAGCAGGACCACTTGTGTTCTCTTGTCTGTCTCTTTCAGTTTATATGCAGCCTTTCTCTGAGAGCATAGTTTGTGGCTGTGTAGTTGCCCCCACACCATTCCCATCTTAAATGGTCTGGAGACAGGTTACTGCTAAGCAGGATTTGCACCCCATTACACGGATGCTCTGACTTGCTCAGGAAACTGGGTGATCAGAAGCCATGCCTTCTACAGAATACTACTTTCTGTGATGGACTAGGAACAACCTTAGCCATAGGAACTATGGCTATTGTTTATTCATGAGGAGTAAAATCACAATGATCCACACACATTAAAAAAAAAAAGCTATCTACCAGTGTGCAACAGCAGGTCAAATTTTTCTTCTAATACTTTCTCTGCTACTCACTAATTCATTTTGTTTCCTGTGAACTTAGAAGAGCAGAAAGATGGTGGCAGGAACTAAAATAATTAAGCTATAGGGGGAAATGTGAGACATAGTATCTATTAGCTTATTTTGTTTTAAGCAATTCTAAAGTAATTTTCTAGAAATCAGTGTCAAGACACAGTGACTACCCCATATGGTAATTTCTAATTCCTAATTTTTAAAATTTATTTTATTTTTAAAATTTTCTTAAATTTTTTCAGAAAGATTTTCACTACAGGACATGTGCACTCACTGGAGACATCCACACAGAGATAGAAAGTAAAAAAAACCACTTCCCAGGGGAATGACCACACCACAATCCCTTCTCCTTTATTCTACTTTCAGGATTTGGGGCATGCAGGCACATGCGCCCCATGTGAGTTTCAAGCCACTGAGTCCAGGACTTGAACTGCAGTCGACCATGTGTAAGACCAGTGCCTTAACCACTATACCACCTGCTGCCCCCCCAATTTGTTTTTTAAATACCTAATAAACATGAATTGAAATTCAAAAGGTACAAAAAGACATACAGCATTGCAACCTCCTGGTTATCCTCCCTGAAGGCAACCACCATTACCAGTTTCTGTGTGTTCTTCCAGAGGTATTCTGTACTAGCATCATCTAGCAGAGCTGTAAAGATGAAAACTGTCTACCATACCGGTCACTGTGGTAGCCTCTGGCCACACCTTCTATACAGCACTTGAAATATGGCTAGTGTGACACAGGAGCTGGATTTTTATTGAATTTATACAAATTTAAATAGGCATGTGTGGCTAGTAGCTACTGAACCATGCAATTCTGAACAGATAACACACAGCACACAGTAGTATATTGTACACACCAGACTATATCTTGCTTTCTTCACTTAACAAAGCCTTTATCTCTTGAAGAAAGATCACGCCAATCTGTCTCTTTTTAAAAAATGTTGTATAAAAATCTCTTGTAATCCTCCAAGGTAATCCTTTACCCAGCCTAGAGATTTACAAACTTTCTCTTCTTATAACAAGCTCTAAAATCTTCCATATATATCATTGTATAGAGTGCCCAATCTGAACAAACATGGTGACCTGTACATGGAGAAACGTCATTCTGTGAGCAGTCACTTGCAGGGCAATAAGCACAATTAGCAAGTGAATATGCTAGCTGCCTGTTGTTATTGAAACTGCAAAGCAGTATTTGGTTAAAGAAAGCCTCGCTTGTTTGTCAGAATTGGCCCCAAAAGATCAGAGAAACTACATGGCGCCAGTTGTCTTCACATCTTCAGCCGATTTACATCCAACAAATGATCCTCTTCTCCCATTTTTTTTTTCCTTTAAAAGAATAAAACTGGGCTCTTCTCGTTAGCGGCCTGAGGTGATCTTTGAAAATGGTTCGCTATTCACTTGACCTAGAGAAGCCCACAAAGTCTTGCAAGTCAAGAAGTTCAAATCTTCATGTTCACTTTAAGAACTCTAGTGAAATTGCCCAGGTCATCAAGGGTATGCATATCCAAAAAGCCACCAAGTATCTGAAGAATGTCACTTTACAGAAGCAGTGTGTGCCATTTCATCATTACAATGGTGGAGTTGGTAGATGTGCCCAGGCTAAACAGTGGGGCTGAACAAAAGATCAGTGGTCCAAAAAGAGTGCTGAATTTTTGCTGCACATGCTTAAAAATGCAGAGAGTAATGCTGAACTTAAGGGGTTAGATGTAGATTCTCTGGTCCTTGAGTACATTCAGGTGAACAAGGCACTAAAGATGCACCGTCATACATACAGAGCTCATAAACAGATTAACCCATACATGAGCTCTCCCTGCCACATCGAGATGATCCTCACTGAAAAGGAGCAAATTGTCCCTAAACTGGAAGAGGAAGTTGCACAGAAGAAAAAGATATCCCAGAAGAAACTGAAGAAACAAAAACTCATGATATGGGAATAAAGTCAGCATAAGATAAATGTAGATAAAAGAAAGGAAAAAAAAAAGAATAAACCTGGGAACTGTTCAGGGCCACAGCTATCTCTGTTAGAGAAGTTGAGACCACCCAGTTCCCACTTTTCTTTACTTGTATGTCTTTATTTTATGTTTATTCTCTAATTCATAGCCACACACACACACACATTCAGAGAACGTGTTCAGTCATGTTGGTCATGGCATACCATCACCAAGAATGCCTCACAACAACCTTGGGTTGCTTGACCCTCTACTTCGATCAGCCTGAACCTGGATAGCTTGAACAATCTCTTTTGGGGACTGGGAGAAATAATTTACCATGAGTGACTGATCTGAAATACACTCTCCACCCACTTGGCCCATGCCTGAAATTCCATGATGATGGTGGCATTCTTTAAGGTTAGTCACAGCTCTCTTTCAGTGGTTCTCCTTTAAAATCAAAGTCTCTGGGAAAAGGCAGCAGTTAGGATATAGCACCTGAGTTGATGTTTATTTTTCCTGATGAGAGGGGCCATGGAGCTTTGTGGAACAATGAGGGTTAATCTAATGGTGAATCTTACTGCCCTCAAAATTGTCTTTAAGTCCATGTAGATCTCTGACTTTGTACCTTTAGACAGCCTTCCTCTTAGGATAGTTGAGGTGCTGAGTATTGGTCCAGTATCAAAAGGTCTCTAACTTGTTTTGGTGTTTATCCCTGTATAAGCCCTTTCTTGTGAAGACTCCTATGGGAGGCAGTAGATACAGGATTTGGTGTTGTAGAGATATGGGTACAGGTCCTAATTAAATGACAGTTGTTTTACAATGAATGCAGTGAACACTTAGCATTACATATGTGCTGACATTTAGAAAGTCAGCTGACATTAGAAATCACGTGGGGAGTATGAATAAATGGTCTAAAATTGACCCAGTTATTCTAAGGGTTGGGCTTGGTGCTAGGCATTGGGGAGAAGACAGCGGGGGCTATGAGAGGAAGGAGATGTGATTCTTGCTTTGTTGGGTCTCCTGACCTAATAGAGAACTGTGGTTGAATCTTCACAGTGGGAGACACTACCTTTCATTACTGCTGCTTTTTCAGGCAGCTACTCGAAAAGTGGACCCAGGTTGGGTGAACCTCCAAACCCAGGCTCATCACACACTGGGATAGATGGAATTATTGACCCCAATTTCTCACTCCTCCCTGCATCCACACACTGGCCATGGTCTCATTATGGTTGTCATGTATTTTCCCATCCCCTGACTTTGGGTTTGTTCATGTGGCTAGTCCAGGTGGCTTGCCATGGCCCGTAGAATGATGCAGAAAAGAAAATGTGCCAGTTCTGAGCTTAAGCTAGAGAAGGCCTTGTGAACTTCTACTGATGAGTTTCCTGTGTTCCTACCTTCATCTTGAGAAAAGCTTCCCCTCCCTCTTCAGTTGAATGAACACAAATGAAAGAGAGATGTTTGGCTGTCTGCAGAGCTACAGGGAGAACCAGAGGCAACTAAGTCAGTAAAGCATTAAAGTACAACTGTATCAACCAGCCTATAGGTCTGTGAGAATCATTATTCCAGCACTCTAAGCTTGGGGATAGTTTATTATGCAGCATTATCTAAGCAATAGCTAACCAATGCATAGAGCCATTAGGTTCAGCTGCCACAATAAAGATCCAACACAACAGTGGGTTAAATTTTAAAAAAGATTGTTGTGCTCTCATGTAACCATCTAGTTAACAAGTCCAGGGCTAATTTGGTAGCTCATGTGTTAGCAACCCAAGCTCTTTCTATCTTGTCATCTGACTCTCTTCCATATGAAGCCTTCAGATGGTTCACAGGTGGAAGTCTTAATTTCCTTCAACCCTGCAGGCCAATATGCTCCACAGTGTAGTGCCAAACCCTCTTTTGACATTACCTTCTCACACAAAAACTATCAATTCTGACCCCCATTTCCACTTCTGCTTCAGCCTTCAGGATCTTTCCTCTTCTTGACTGGGTCTCCATAGCATCTCAGTCCCACCAGAATGTCAGGAGCCAGATCTAGTAGAGTTTAATACTCCCCAGGAGTGAGAGAGCCTCCAGAGTAGTGCGGG